AGTGGTCTCAAGCTGGATTATTTCTGGCAGTCTGTTCAGGTCCTTAGTAAAGCAAAAGTGTAGTGTAGTTATTTTGTATGATAACGTCTTTGTTTTGGTGAGTATGGAAATACATCAGTCAGAAATACAGGGATGGTATTTGACTATTCCCTTTTACCTGTTGTGTCCCTCACAGGAGATGGAATGTTGCCTTGGCCAATATCTCTTGATAGTGATGCTCTTGATGCACCTTCAAGGAGGCTGAATCAGGTAGAGAGCAAGATCTGTGGTGGGTTGGGTATCCCTGGCTCCTGAATGTGTCCCTGGGCCTAAAATAACCTTATCCTTTCATTACAGTTACTTATGATGAATGACCTGTTCTAAGATTTAAATCCAGTTAGGGAACTCCAAGCAAAATGGTTTTCTTTTATAATTGTTTCTAATTGTTTTCTTCAGGTGACCTTTGAGGAAGTGGCTGTGTTTTTCACTAAGGAAGAGTGGGCCCTACTGGACCCAAGACAGTGGTTCTTGCACTGGGAAGTGATGGGGGAGAATTTGGGTCTTGTGTCCTCTGTGGGTGAGTCTACTTCTTGCTTGTGGTTCATAAATTATAAGTGCCAAAAATTAGTATTAACTTTTCGCTCTGAAATATTTCATAAATCTGAGTTGTCTTCCAGTCTGGCTGGTTTCTAGGGTATCTTTTCAGGAATCCCTAAGCTGGCAGACCTTGATCAAGGCTATGGTGCATGGTGTCAGATTTGGATGTACTCCTAGGCATGGACTGTTGTCGGGGAGAACTTGGAGCAGGGCTGAGGTATTGCCCAGAGGGCCTGATTTTTCTCCACCAATTGCTGCTGTGGTTCTCTTTCATGAGAATGAGAGAATGCTGTGGCTCTCTTAACCATTAAGAATGAGAGATTGACTAGTTGAGGGGCAAATGAGAATGCAAAAGGGGGAGCAGAGCAGACAGATTCCAGTGGCTCACTTCTACAGGAGAGTGGAGTCCAGTTTCTCCCCCTTGTTGCCCAAAAGTACACAAAAAGGTAGAATATTCCAGAAGGGGGATAGGCAGTTGGAGGGAATGGTGGTAATCACTTGTCCATTCCTTCCTATAGTGAGAAGGGAAAAGCTGTGCATTATTGTGAAGATAAGGCAATAATGCAGCTTGAGGCCACTTTAACTGTCCTGGTTTTGTGCTAAGGAATCATGGGAATTGTATTTTTTTTTTTTTGGGACATTGAGCCTTCTGTGTCAGAGAGCTCTGGTGCCACAATAAACTGCAGTTCCAATTATTCCTTAGCCTTGAACCAGGACAGTTAAAGTGGCCTCAAGCAGCATTATTTCTGGTAGTCTGTAAAGGCCCAAAGTCATGTTTACTTATACAAATCCTTGCTTGAATATTAATCCTTGATGGTGTCTTTTTCACCCATGAAGGGGAGAAACCACATTATTCTCTTTGGTATATTAAAGAGCATGGTATTCTGTAGTGATTTCAGTGGGAGAATAGGAATGTTTCTTCTGCTAAGGAAGCAAAATTGTGTACTTGTATAAACCAATGAAGGTCCCTTCTTTGTTGTATGGATATTTTTGGATTAGAAGATGTGAATGTGTCCTTTGCATCTTTTTGAACAATCGGCCAGTGCTTCAGTGCCTCATGTGTGTTGGCTTCGCTTCTCAGAGGGAAAGGGAATTAGTTTTGCAAAGAAATAGTTGTGGAAGTTACAGATGAGCAAAAATACTCACTCTGAGGAATCTCTTGGGGCTTGAAAATTCCTTGGTGAGTTGTAAAGTTGAAAGCACCATAAGTAACCAGATGTTCCTAATTGAATCCATAGAGACTGGAATTCTAATCCCAACTGTAGGTTATTCTGGAGTTTTGGGACGTTCATATTTAATTCTGTATCCTAGGTTTTAGTACTGAGTTTGATAGTGGAAAGCTGAGTTCCGTGGACTCAACACTACTTCCTGCACAGAACTGAGTCTCAACATCATTCATCATTAGCTATGCCATATATGGCTGATGGAATGGCAATCCAGAACTATCTCACTATATGTAATGCAATTGATTGATTGTACTTTTG